GTATATCAGGTTATGTAGAATGCTTGACATTGATTTTTGTGTAAAAAATGTTATATGAAACTTTACCTATAATTTTTTAGTTTTTATTGTAAGTTTATTCATTTCACAATTTGTCACAGATGTCAAATAAAAAATGTATTTTTTAAATACCTTTTATTGGCAAATAAAATAAGAACTAAAATGTTTTAAATGTTTATTTTATAAGATCAGTCCCATCACAATACATAATATTACACAGACACAAACTAGAATACTTAAAGATATTTAATGCCTGGCATTTTAAATGATACTCTTCGCAGTTTAACAGACCCCCTTAACCCCCATATTTAATCAGATTTAATCAGATTTTTTTTATAATGAAAGGGCTTCTCCTTTAAGATTGATGTTTCCTAAAAATTTCAAGTTTTTCATTTAGGATTTTTTTTATAATTTAACCCCATTTAACTCCCCAATATATTCATATTTTTTTTCAGTATCAATAGGCTTTATCTTCTTATAAAGCTTCATTTTTACTAAAAATTTGATATTGCTATCGCTTTTCATTTTTTATTTAGGATTTTTTTAATTTCAACCCATCTTAACCCCCCCTATTTTTAATCAGATTTGTTAAAAATCAATAGGCTTTGTTCCCTTATAGAGCTTGATTTTTGCTTAAAATTTTCAAGTTCATATCATTTATTGTTTTTGACTTATCGTGCAGACAAAAAACGTGACATCGGACAGACAGACAAAGTAAATTTATAATACTCTTCACATAATACTGTATGAAAAAAAAATGTATAAGGTAAAATAAACAATTTAAAAAGGTCAACAATAATATTCAACTTCTTTTATCAACGGATACTAAAAGTTTGAAATAGCAGCATATAATTGAACATTTACATAAATCTTCTTCTTTCTTTCTTTCTTTCTTTCTTTCTTTCTTTCTTTCTTTCTTTCTTTCTTTCTTTCTTTCTTTCTTTCTTTCTTTCTTTCTTTCTTTCTTTCTTTCTTTCTTTCTTTCTTTCTTTCTTTCTTTCTTTCTTTCTTTCTTTCTTTCTTTCTTTCTTTCTTTCTTTCTTTCTTTCTTTCTTTCTTTCTTTCTTTCTTTCTTCTTTCTCTTTCTTTCTTTCTTTCTTTCTTTATTTCTTTCTTTCTTTCTTTCTTTCTTTCTTTCTTTCTTTCTTTCTTTGGTCCATGTGATACTTGAAAATTCATGAATTTTATTCGGAATATTTGGCTAATAATATAAAGAGAAAGTTTACCTTTAAAGTATATTTGTCATTATTGACAGCATCTTGTTGTGGAAATAATATTTTTCTTCTAAAGGCCACCTAACATCTACGGCCTTCTTGTTTGAATTCATTCTGTAGAGCTTCTTGTGCCACTCCTGTAGTATTTAGTAGCTATTATTTAATTTGGGCACACTATCGTCAGTGCTTGGCTTAGCGGTTCCAGTAGAGGAAGTAAACGCGAACTATAGTTCACCGCTTCCTGCTTAGCTTGTTGGCCCAGCCCTTAGTAACCGATCGGTAACTCTGACAAGAACAAACCCTGGATGGTAGATCATCAGGACAGAACAAGTAAGAACGTTCCATTGCCTGAGCTCTATTTTAGTGCATCACCTTTCTGTACTATATTTAATAACATCATTGTCATAGTATCATCTTGTCAGAGGACAATGATGTACAAAAAAATATAGATTAACAAGTATGAAAACAAAAATATTAAAATTAAATATATATTTTTTTATGTTATTTATGTAATATTAAAATAATGTGTTTTTATGAAATTTAACTGGGTGTTCACTGCACAAATGAACCAATGGAGAAACTGCCCCTGGTGGCACTATCATAACATGCCTTCAGGTTATTTTTATCTAGTAAAAAAAAGGGCGATGGTATAGCGTGATACTTTAAAAAAGCTTACCAATAAAAATAAACCCTAGTTTGTGCAACAAGAGTGGATATGATGGCCAAATCGAACGAAGACAAAGTTTGAGCACAACGCCGCAGGAGGAGGGCTCAAAAGTCTGATTGCGATACGGACAATCCACTCGAGTTGTACAGTATATTTTTTCTACGACCCACTAACGAAAAACTACAAATTTAAAAAATATTTTAGGTTAAGATAAAATAACTAATTTATGAAATATATAAAATATAATAAACAAAAAAAGTAGTCTCCAATCCTAGATTTGAATCCGGGACATCTCGCATGATAGCCAAATGCGCTGGTGTCGGCTCCATCGCCACACCTAACATTTTAGTTTTAATACTCTCGTAATTAAATTGAATTCATGTAATAGCCTGATTAAAATTTATTATTTATTTGTAAGGATAGACGAAATAAAAATAGAAATGATATTATTTATCGATTATACTCAAGAATAACTCATTTTAATATACTGACAATTAGTTTGACAGAATTGTCACTTATTTAAAACTTAAAAAAAGTAATACTAGCCGGGTGACCAAAATATGAACTTCGATTAGTGGATTTCATATTTGTGCAGTGTTCTTACTAGGTAGAATGGATAGGAAATATATTCGTTCAGTTGAACGTTTTGTAGCCTGTGCGTGGAATAGCTAATGTTTATGTGGGTGCGTAGAACAAAGATTCAAAACTTTTTTTTTTTTTCAATAAGTTCATAAGGGAAACGTTTTATTGTAGATTTCTTAGAAAATGTTTTTCTTGAAAAAGTTGGTTCTTGACTTTAAAATCAATTATTATAAACTTCGTAAATTTGTCAATATGTAGAAATTTGGCTCATGACTCTTAGTTTTAAGAATAGAGAAAACTGTTAATTGAAATTTCCAGAAATATGTAGCAACGGGAGACGTGAACTTTTAAATATATTAAATGTCGACAAAATATCGGAAAGTCCCAAACGAGTGATTGGAAAATAAAAAATAAATCAGTCTGATATAGATGGTTACGAAGATTCTGAGATTTTTCATGCCAACTCATGTAAAACCGTAGGTCTAAATTTGAGAGCACTGGCAATAATCTTCCAGGCTGAAGTAAATTGAATAAAAGTTTGTATCATTGACTACAGCGCTTAAAACAATACATATGGCAAAAATGCAATGCAAATTACTTTAATTTTAAATTGAACCTCGCATGAAGAAATTATAACTGTATTAGTCTAGCCTTAATTCATAAAGCATCTTAAATATTTATAGACTTGGAAATCCTTAAAGAAGCCCCCACTCTAAGAAAAAAGAGAGTTGGACTATATCGTGATTAACTGTCAAATAAATGCGGTGATTTTTCCTCAAATCGTTAACAAATTAATCAGTTTACCAATATTAAAATAATTAAATAACAGTTGTTGAAATATCGTCCAACTCTATTGTAGGCTGAATATCCAATGAGGAAATATTCAAATGAACTTTTTTATTATTAAATACCGATTAATTTATTTAATTCACCATAACGGCGATTAGGTAGAATATATTATGTACCTAATTCAAATGGCTTATCACCATTCTTCCTAAACATAAAAAAAATTTACTTGCAATGACACAATTATTTTCTGATAAAAAATGCACTTTGTTCACAAATATTAATTGTTGCTAACGGGTAACACGTTACAATGTCGATAACTTTTTAGAATTTAATGCACTATTGACATTTCAAATAACCAGTTTAAAAATTTGTTATGGTTAAATATCGAGGGGTATGTCGCTTAAAAAATGTTGTACATTAGTTCACATTATACCCTAAGTAGTACTGAAGTAGTACACAAATTGTATATAAATAGTACAGAAATAGATAAATAATTGGTTCCAAATAAATTATGAGCATTATGGCAAGTCATAACATTAACGACTAAACTTTTATTAAACTTTCTTGCATTTTTTTGTTTCAAATATTTACACTACTTCAGTTGTTAAGAACTATATATTTAAATTTTTCGTACCAAAAAGATAATTAAATTAAGTAATAATATAACAAGACAAATATCAAAATTTAAAACAATTGGGTAATTTTTAACTGATTTTACATCAGTTCTTAGATAGTTGTATTTGTATATTTTTACTTAATTATTCAATTGTTTAAAATTTTAATTAAATAATGATTTAATATTAAAAGGCACTATCAATGGTTATATACAATATGATTCAAAAGGTTCTAAAACAAAAATGGAGTTAATTGATTGTGATACCTATATATTTTTTTATAATGCTGTACATGTTTATGTTATAGGTACATATTTAGAAAATGTTACTATATTAGATTATAACATCCGTTTGGTTTTTAGTATACGAAAATTATATAGTCATAAACTTGCTTTTATTATACAAAAAATAAAGTAAATATTTATAACGCATGTCTGCACGCCAATGTTTCACAAAAAGACTACTGCATTTGTGGAGACATGATAATTAGTTAAAATACTGAAATTGTCTTACATTTTCTTCTTGCTTTTATGATGTCAGCTTCGTCCGAAAGATCTAAAAATGAACGAGGATTAATAAAAAGGACAAATAATAATCATTTCAGGACTACATTCAAATAATCACTTATGCAAATGACCTACAATATAGTGGCAAACTCGAGACAACTACTAAGGTAAATATTTGAGCAGGATAAGAAAAGGACATTTTGAATACAAGACGGTTGCAAAAAATGGTTATGAATAATGTCACATTAAAAAATAAGTAGTGAAGAAATTGGTATGGTGACAACCGATTGGGAAGAAAACGAAAGGAGACCAATGAAAAAAAATATAGTTAGAATGAACCTGAAAGAGAAAGTGACTATGGACTGAATAAAAATAATTTTAACTATACACACAAGTGTATAAAGCCTAAAGCCCCTCTTGTCTGAAGAATATTTTAATAGAGGAAGATCAAATGGTGCCTGTTAAAAAAAAAAAGAATATTAATAAAATATATAAATTGAGAAAAAAGTTATATTTGGCGTGTTTAGCGAAACATCATTAGTATTTATACTTTTAATTATTTATAGAACATTTCAATCTTGAGAACTGATAGATTTTATTTTTGTTTCAGAAATACCACCTCCTCCATATAGTCGAATAGATATGGATCAATTAAAACCCGAAGGTAATTTTTTACGTTTAATAATTTTTAAATTTTGACTGGTTTAATTAATTCATTGTTGATTGTATTAACAGGACATTATGACTATTATATCACTAAGTATAAGTAACATTTTTATATACTTTTAATATTCGAAAATCATACACCATGTTCTAAACTAATATCTGTCGTACTTGGTACATTTGGATGGTGTTATGCAACAAAGAATCAATCAACGTTTTCTAATATAAATGTTTCAAATATGGTTTTCTCCAATCAACTTCGTTTATGACTTGATTTTTACTATGTAATACCATGAATTTTATTTAATGCTTAAAAGGCATTAATTGTCTTTTTTTTATACTGTAACTGTAAATTATTGGTCAATCATATTGTATTAATTTGTGATATAATCTATTGAATACAACTTGTGGTATCGGGACTCTCGATAATCTCATAAATTAATACACTAATCTTAATTTTTATACACTAGCTTATACAATTATCGATAGTCCAAATACCACTCGTACTGAGTAGTAATCGAGACTGCGAAAATTATGGTTTTTATGATATACAATGCTCAACAATTGAAGTGGATAATTATTCTAATTGTCTTGAAATTTTAATAAATGTTTAAATATTTGCACTGTACTGTCTAAGTGTAGCCCAATTTTTTAGCCAATTGAACTTGAGAGATCAAAAACACTTTTTGATTACTAGAATAATCGCAAAGGCTCGTTCATAACAATTTTGAGCTATTACTGAACGGCTGTTTGCCACTAAACATTTTCCAATTTTTAAGTACTGATACTTATAAATCTTCCGACATTGCTACTTCTCTTTCCTTCTTTGATATTTCATCCGACATTTTTTATAAGGCTGTCCTTTTTCCATTCTTTATAGGCTACTGAATATGACATTTTTTTACCGAATATTTGTGGATTACCGTATAGCTCTTATACCTATGCAATGGTACATCTTTTTCATGTGTCGTCTAATTTTATCCCACCAAATATTCTTTACAATAATTTATCTTTAAAGCTTCCAGTTTTTGTTGTATTGTCTCATTCATAGTACAGGTAACATTACTTAGAGTAGTAGGCCTATTAAGGGAAATGTTTGCTTAATAAACATGTGTATACCACATGTCTGGCAGTATATACTGATATGGTAATCCCCTGGTGGTGTCCTCCAATCAAAAGAATCCCAAAGAAAAAATTACACAAATGATAAATTGTAAACAACACTTTTTTTATTTTATTCTTTCTCTGCTCACTCTTTATACTGCTCATTCTGCTCGCCATGTTTCTCTGCTTCTAGATTTCTCTCCTACCTGGTATCTACTGATCTTCTTCCGGTTTTGTATTAACTTAAATGTTAAAATGAAATTTTTTTTACCTTTTTTTGTAACTTTTTCTTTATTTACTCAATTTCTTTGGTAATGTAATAATTTATCTTAATTCTTCTACCTTCCAACTTCTCATCTGACCTTTCAAATTGCTTTTCCGTTTGGCAAATCTCCCTAATCAACAAACCGTTCTCTTAACAACCTTTTGTTCTGAGCTGGACTCAGCAGCCCTAACCGACAAACATGGAGGGCCGTCATATTTCTATGAATACCTATGACGACTTAAATTACTTGCACTTGAAGAAGAAAAACCAGAAACAAATATTTAGACAGGAGACCTATTTCCTAGGTTGTGTGTAGTCTATTAGAAAAGGCCAAATTAGACAAAACATGGAACAAAAAATGAAATAACCACAATAGATTTGACAAGGTCGAATTTTAGAGGCCAATATGTAATCTAAAAAAATATGATACTATAATTAGTTGGTCAAACAAAGTACAGCTTATAACTGAAAGTTGAATGAATATTTCCAAACGAGTTTAGCTTGTAAATTTAACAATGTCATTTCAATTTAAAAAAGATGAATGATTTATAAATTAAAGTGGCAAAAACGAGCATAATCTGAGTATAATCTCGAAATTCATTAAGCAACTGAACTTGAAAAATTGTTAAATGGATGATTCATACAAAAATACCATAGCAACGCATTTCACTAAATAGTAAAATTTATTTTATTTTATTTATTTATTTATTTATTTATTTATTTATTTGTTTATTTATTTATTTATTTATTTATTTATTTATTTATTTATTTATTTATTTATTTATTTATTTATTTATTTATTTATTTATTTATCCCAATCAGGCATATTGGACTTTTTACATGAATAGTTTTTCTTAACATAACAGTTCAATATTTGTTTAATTATGATATGATGCTTCAAATAATTAGTGATTCACAAATAGTGTTTCTTGGAGAAATTCACTTATGTCGGAGCATTCAATTATTCGTCTTTTTAAGTGGAGCCGTGCATAATTATCACGAACATGACTCGTATCTTTGTCACTCATGAGCTACTTTATATTTTTTTTATCACTTTTAATGATACAATATTGTACGTTTACAGAGGAAAATTATTGTTAAAACCGCAAAGTACAGAAAAAAGTGTTGGACTGACAATACATATATCTATATTTAAAAACCTAAAATGTTAAGATATTCATGGACAATATAACGAGATCTTGATAAATAGTCCACTATTTTTATTTATTTAATTTTATCATTAATAATCTGAAGAGTCCGAGAGCTTTAGCTCGAGGATTTTATTCTTTGATTATTAATGACAAAATTATGTCGAGACAAATTGCAAAATACACGAAAAATTTAGTGTAACTATAGAAATAGGCGCTAATTTATTAAGGTCGAATTATATTTAATGATAATATTTCTAGAGTCTTGGATGTAACTTAAATACACAATAAACTATTTTTTTTTAAATAACTCATTTTTTGGTACATTTTAAAACGAGATATTAGCTTGTACTCTGATAATAAATATATTTGACTAGCCGTTTATTAAACATTACACCTATAATCAAGTATGCGAGTTGCTGTCAACATCGGTGAATATCGAGCATCATGCATGATAGTTGATATGTAGTGAAAAATAGTCAATTTATTTGGTTCTGATTGGTCCTAACGGTAACGTAAATTCCGATGTGATTGGTTAAAATGTCAAAGTTGGCAGGCGAGGGAAATATTCATAGCAAACTATTTTTAAATTGGTTATGATCAATTATCCAATCTGTATAGCAATAGTCGTATTTTGATTATTATAACACATTCCAAGATCTTTAACTTCAAGACGTCTTTCCAATATTTGTTGATCCATTGTAACTATTGGATGTTTTTTTCAGGTAACGGAAAGTATGCAATACTTTTTTATATTAAAAAATAATTCATTATATTTAATTCATGCTACGATATTGTCGATATCTTTCTGAAAACACAATCTCTGACTGTTTTCACTCGTCTAAATAACTTAAAATCATCGGCATGAAGTAAACATTCAGAGTTGCCACCACACGATGCTAAATCGTTTATAAAACGTGTAAGCCATAGAGGACCCAGATTTGAACCTTGTGGCACCTCAAAATTCGCATGATACTTTCCTGATGTGTTTCCACTGAATCTTATAATATAAAATCGAGTTTCTAAATATTTTTTTAACAAGGTATTAAAACCCACGGAGATAATTCTTAATCTAAAATAGGTAGGACAAAATTGAATTATTTTTGTCTTCTTCCTGTGTAATTTCCTAGCGTAGGGTAAATGTCAACATTGCTATTCTTCCTTTGTTTGCAATTATTCTGAAGAATTCTATTGAACTTCAACCGAATCAGTCTCGCCAATTGTAAATGAAGATAATTTTATGTTAAACATTAATTTATCTACATAAAAAATACCCTGTTGTATAATTTTCCAAACGTTGCTTATTCTATTTGAATTCTACTCTTAAACAAACGACTTATTTATGTCAAACTAAGCCTATTTGCTTGAAAAATGTTTCTGACTTGTAAATGGAATTCACTCCGTCTGTCGGTAAACATTCCTTTCATCATGGTAGGCCACTTTAAATTGCCGGAAAGTGTAGGTCTCTATCTCTAAACCATCATTTAAAGGCAGACTGAAGATAGATAGGTTAGATGTTTTTGTCTGTTGGAATTTACGTTATTGTTTTAGAAAAATGTTTGGAGATTTGAGATTTCAATATATTTAAAAACAAGAAAGAAGGCTGCTTTGAATTTCTGAGAAAGTTTGGCTTGAAGGGTGTGGGAATTTATTTCTTTGAGGTTTCACATTTTTTGATTATCGAAGAAATTTAATTGATCAACATACCTAAGAAATATTCATATAGGATTATTTGTATTAAAAATATTGCATTATTAATTAGCAATTGTTTTAACGATTTTTGGTTTTTAGGTTTAAAACAAACAAGTCCTTATCGACCGCGTTGTCACATTGGCCATGCCGTATAAACTGGAATCGCTGATATTATTCATTTCCTGCTCGCTCTAATGCTAACTCTGCACATACGCACTTGTGCAATACTTTCGATAGCCGATACTGTAAACTGTAGTGGTTTGGAGATACTAAAGGAAAGCGCTGTTGCCGGGTTTTTACTAAATGATGAGAAATATTTTTTAATGAAACATTCTCATCTAAGATTGTGAAAATTACTAAAAAAATCCAATTTTCCGTAAGACAAAAATGCTTATGTGTATTTTAGTATATTTTTAACTAAATGTCAGAAAATTCTACACAAATAGTTGTTCAAAATGGCGCCCGTTATTAACAAGCTGCCGCTTTTTTTGTAAAGAGCCTCGTAATTTAGCAATTGAGTCAGGATTATGATAGATTTCCGTAGTCACATTGTTTATTTTCTCCGTTATCTTCGGTTCATTATAAAAAAGTTGTTTTATGAGACCACACAACAAGAAATCACAAGTTTTCAATTCTCAATACTACGAACGCGTTGTGGGACCAAGAAGTTTTATTTCTGACAATTGTCCTCGCAATTGTCAGTTAGTATCTGACAATTGTCAGTTAGTATCTGACAATTGTCAGTTATTATCTGACAATTGTCAGTTATTATAAGCTGATTATATTAATTGT